TTCGGTAAGTTATTGATGGATCAATATACAGATATGTTTAATATTCAATAATCAGTTTCATATAAAATTTAAGGGTGAGATTGTTAATCTGGAAATAAAATACAACAAAGTCCAACAGAGTGCTCGATGAATGAGTATGCTAATAAACCAACTGCTTGGAGGGAAAAGAGGAGAAAAAAATGACTAAACAAGGTCCACCAAATCGTGGCGATATACCAGTGTTTACCATTTTAGTATGTTGTTATACTAGGTACTTATATTTTTAATACATTTTGATACAAATTCTATTCTTTTACAGTGTTTTCTTACTTCTGGTTTCTGCAGTGTAAATAATTATTATTATTGTGTTATTTGCGCTATTGCGTTCCGTGATATAAAGAAATATAAAAATTTTATTTTTTAATCACTTAATCCATTTTATGGAAGAAAAATGGTACATTTAATACAAAACAAAAATGGAACAATTTTAAGGCTACTTCTCTTGAACTTACGATCGAGATACTTTTGGAAAATACAAAGTTTTGCCTTCCTAATTTCGTTCTAAAAAGATATAATTGGTATCATTGAATAAATATTTCTTAAAAAGAACGAAAAGTTAGGCATCAAAACTTGTATTATTTCCTACATTCCTTCATAAGAAGTAGTTTTATCTAGCACAAGATGTATATACGAAGCAAAATACATACGTATACACGCGGTAGTCACAACTGCAATGTGTAAACAGAGTTTAAACGTAATACACAAGCACTGTGTATCCTACGGCACACTGTGTATCCCTTACCCTGTGTATAGGTAAATGCTATACTGTGGCTACATTGTGTGTGTGAGGCGGACGTTTAACCTTTGTGCATACGTGTTGAACTACAATGTGTAAACGTAGCATATTTACCTCGGGGGAATTGTGTCACCCTGTGTCTACATCTAATAATGTAAACACATCGTAAATGTGATTTGATGTGCTGTATGGGACAAAACTGATGTGTCAAAACGAATGACAATGTCTGCAGCAGATCTACCACCTGAATCCCCAGCGGGAAATTTAAACTCCAGCTAGTCAGCACGACGCCGAATATGTTCATGGTTGGCAACAATGGATTTAAAAATCGCGCCCTCGATTACGTAACTAAAAGTTTAATTGATATGGAATATACAGGGTGGTCCGAACTGTATTCCGGAAACTTCGGCAGCATATTCTACAGATCAAAATAAGTAAAAAGTTCGTATAAATGTATGTTCTAAAATGCTTAGTTTCGGAGATACAGGGTGTAGAAGTTTGATTTTTATTTCGATTTTTTCCAAACAATTTCTGAAGTAACGTCAATATTTGGATCAAAATTGGTATCTGGGAGTTTTGTGACACGAGAAATTTGATTTTGATGTCAAAATTACTCTTATTTGTAGGGGGCGCCACCTACATGTGTTTTAACTGTTTTGAAGAGTAATAACTTTTCGACCGTACCTGTATAAAACCACTGACTAAAAAAATATACATTTCCATGACTTTTTATGTAAAAAATGTGTATTGGTAAAAATCGCTACGAGCAACCGTTCTCAAGATATTTAGAATGAAAATAGTCAATACATGTCATTATTGACAATAAATAAGCACATCCAAATATTGACATTACTTCAGAAATTATTTGGAAAAATCGAAATAAAAATGAAACTTCTACACCCTGTATCTCCGGAACTAAGCATTTTAGGACCTACATTTATACGAACTTTTTGACTTATTTTTATCTGCAGAATATGCTGTCGAAGTTTCCGGAATACAATTCAGACCACCCTGTATATGTTTAAGTATTAGCATAGAGGCCGGTGACAACGATTTCTGACGTCACAATAGTTGTCACAATGTTTTCTAAATTTAAGTATAAATAATAATACGTATTTGTTAACAGTTATGCCTAATATAAAAATGAAAAATGTTATACATAAAACTTGTAAAAAATAATTATTATAACATAGTGCCATCATCCCTTTTAACAAAATCTTGCTATACCTATATATCGATATATCGATATAACTATATCGATAGTTATCTATACAGGGTTGTTCACCACATACGACACGGAGTATTGTAGCTAAACGATTAGATTTATACAAATTGTAAGTTCTGGATTTGTTGGACGACTATTAGAGCTACAATTTAAAAATATTTTATTTTTATAAGATACAGAGTGTCCCAAATAAGTAAAAAATATTATAGTTGTATTTTTTTAAATGGAACACCCTGTATATTATTCTATTTTTAGATTCTACGATTGAAATAAAGGTAAATTTGATTCAGGTTTATAACACTTAAACCTTACCGTTTTTGAAATATTTTCAATTTTATGAAATTGCAGTAAAAAAATTAAGGCTTCATTTCTCCAAGGGTATCGAAGTTTTTAATACCAAATTTTTACTGAAGTTTATTTATTGATCAGATATTGTTTTGCTATAATAACAATACTACTACCTTATACAGAGTGTCTAAAAATTTATATTAAATAATTACTAGCTTCAAACGGCAATAAGTTGTTTAATTTAGATGAAACACCCTGTATATTTTACGTTAATCAGATGCACAATTTAATTGTCTCTCAAATTGTATTATCCCATTTTTACCTATTTCTTCAAGTTTTCGTAGAAAATGCATTTTCTTATAATTTAGACATTATTTATCACTATACCCATGGTATATTGACATTTCAGATTATTTTTAAAGATGTAACAGATTTTCAAAAACTGCAGATACTAATATTGTCAATATAGTTCGCTTATTTCATTAAAAGATAAAAAATTGTTTAAATATTTTTTGTTAAAGAGGACCAATTAATATGATCCCAGTATTCAAACTGCATTAATTGACCGTTTACGTTGATTAACAATAATTGCTCCAAATACTAAAAAACTGAGTCAAATCCACATTTATTCAGAATAAATTATTAATCAAAAATCGAAACAATTAAGTATGTAATTAACTAATTTTTGGGCGGAAATAATGGTTGTATATTAATAATTAGTAATAATTGGTATACTCTTTTACAAGGATTTAAATAGTTTTCTTTTTGTAAACAAATGGGCTTGCAATATTATTATTTTTATCACCTGTACATTTTGTACATACGTTGCTTTAAAAAAATCTAATATGTCAATATTCCATGGGTATTCCATAGTGATAAATGAGGTCTAAATTATAAGAAAATGCATTTTCTACGAAAACTTGAAGATATAGGTAAAAAATGTTATAATACAATTTGATAGACAATTAAATTGTGCATCTAATTCGCGTAAAATATACAGGGTGCTCCATTTAAATTAAACAAGTTATTGCCGTTTAAAGCTAGTAATTATTTAATATAAATTTTTGGATACTCTGTATAAGGTAGTATAACAGCGGCGTGCGGTCCATGGAAGCGGGGGGTGCTTCCCCCGCTTCCATGGACCGCTTCCCTAAACTTTTTAAAGATAAAAAAAATAAATAGTTAAACGTTAATAATACTGTTATTTTATAAGTAAAGATTAATTTAATTTGTTAAAATTATTAATATTATAATATTGACGGAAAATCGCGGACAGTTTTGCTAGCTACGGCAGCGATCTTTCGGCCGCCTTCCGAGACTTTTAATTTATTGGGACGGGTTCGCTTGCGATTTTATAGGTAATATTATATTTTTTCGGATTTAACTTAGTGTTTACTGTTTCTTTTGTAATGAAGGGTCAAGAAGGTCAATCTGTGCTTCTGCTAGTGTGGACAATAATTTAGACTGTGTTTGTGTTGTATGTGTTATTAAAAAAGAGATTTTCTAGTCGGAACTTCCAAGAAAAAAGTGACATTATTAAGTCTGGTAGGCCAACGGTTCCTATCAATTTAGAGACCAGAGTGGAGAAGACGGTAAAAAAATTCACTAGACATTTCATGTTGGGTTTTACGACAAATATGAGTGGTTAACCGGCTGCAATAAATTATCCAAATTATTATGTTGGCCCTGTTTACTTTTTAATATAAGTGAGAAGACTAACTGGAACGTAGCCGGGATTACGGATTTAAATAATTTTCACAAAAGTGTAAAAGGGCATGTAAAGGAAAGTGCTTCGGAAAATTAATTTAAAATATCGTATTCTGACTATTATACCTTTACGTGTTTTTGTTTGTTTAACAATTTTCGATAGAATTTTAATCGAACAATGGAATTGGCCTCGGAATTTTCAAAGTAAGTTTTTTAAGAAAATGTAAAAGTAATGTCTCGAATTAGGGTTTTTTACCGATTCGCTTACCCGCCTATAATTGTCACCGCACGCCGCTGTAGTATAATTTTTATTATTGCAACACGATATCTGATCAATAAATAATCTTCAGTAAATATTTAGTAATAAAACCTTTAACACCCTTGGAGAAATGAAGCCTTACATTTTTTACCGCAATTTCACAAAATTGAAAATATATCAAAAACGGTAAAGTTTAAGTGTGATAAACCTTAATGAAATTTACCTTTATTTCAACCGTAGAATCTAAAAATAGAATAATATACAGGGTGTTATATTTAAAAAAATACAACTATAATATTTTTTACTTATTTGGGACACTCTGTATCTTGTAAAAATATTTTTAAATTGTAGTTCTAATAGTCCTTCAGCGAACCCAGAACTTACAATTTGTAAAAATCTAATCGTTTAGCTACAATACTCCGCGTCGTATGTGGTGAATAACCCTGTATATGGAAAAAAATCCCATCCTTAGTTGTAAGTTGTTCAGAATTCGATTTTACGTATATACATAAGTGCAATTTTTGTAAAACCCTGCAAGAACTGCCAAGAGATAACAATCAAAATTATTTTAAAGTTATTCTAAAAATGATTTACTGGTGTATTACAGCAAAATATATAGTTTTTTAAATTTTTCTTACGATTTACTTTTAGAAATAATTCTGCTTTATTCTTTTTCAGAATGTTATTAGTAATTGCTTTAAATATTTGATTATAAAACTTATATTAAATATATAATTCTATCTTACGTGGCAGCCATTTGAAAATGAAGGAGGGACAAATTCACGACACAAGTGATTTAATCAAAGACTGAAATTTTGCCACTTTACTAAGTTGCATTTGAAGTAAAATGATAAAATGTATTTTTGATATTTTTAATTACGATCGGATAGGATAAGTTTGATAGGATAAGTTTTTGTGTAAATAAAAATAGAAGTGCATTTAAATTTTAAAAAAATCGTTAAAATATATAGATAAAAGTCAATTATATTATCGCAGTTATAGTTATTAGTATTAACTATTAAATAAAATCTGAAAACTAAAAGCTCTTCAGGATTTACTGATTGTAATCTGGATTTTTATATAAATCTATAATCTATAGATTATAACTTAAAAGCGTTGGTAAAAGCAATAAATAAAATATATAACTATATATTTGTGCATCGTATTATGTAAGTATTTAATAAAATAAAATATTTAATCTCTTAAATTCAAAATTGAATATATTTACGGTTATATGAAATTTTCCAACTGATTTTGATTTGATTTTTTATAATTACTATCGGCGATTTTTAGCTTTGTTTACTGATATTACTGGCTTTAAAATTTTAAAAGTATTAAATGATAGACTGGGAACTAGCCCACATAATTGAAACATTATTATTGAGATACTTTTTCTTTCATCTGTTTAACGATTTCGATTTGCCTGACTATAAAATTGGAAAAAAATTGTACAAAGTTACCATGTTTTTCAAGTACTTTAATCAACAACGCCGGTTAGAGGCTGGAATTGATCTGATATATCGTGAGTACCTACTGAGGGCAGAGCCATACTCGTAAGTAAGTAAGCATCAATTCAAAGTTGTTCAAAGGATGCCTAGAGAGCCTGAACAAATTAGGCAAAGAAAATAAAATCTTCCTATTCTTGTTGCCACTCCACCAAGGGATAGAAGGCAATGAAGAAGCAAACGATCTAGCTAGAAAAAAAGCGAACACACCACTAAGTCGACCAGAACCGTTCTGCTTCTCAATTGGAAACCAACTAAAAGCCAAACTCAATAACCTGAAATTTTTCTACATAATGTCCTTGTGAAACCATACACTGCTACCAACGATACTGCCCCTTTCAATGTCTGCACCTAGACTTACGAACCATAGGAGCTTACTACAGAAAAAAATCAAAGATTTTCCTTGATTTAAATAAGAACAATCTTCGGATTGTCAAGGGGTTGGAAACACAAATGGAAACCAACTTAAAACGGAACTCAAGAACCTGGTAGACTCCATCCGTAACCTGGAATGGCAATCCTTCAAAGGTCTCGAAGGAATTTCGCAGAACTTAGGACCGAGAAAAATCAAAGATCGAAAGATTTTTCTTGGCTTAAGTAGAATGTCGAATGTTTAGGAGGGGAGTTAATCACCGCGACCTTACAGATATATTGTGTGTTCCCCTTTCCTGAGTTATAACGAGTTATAGGTATAACTAATCATACATTCTAAGGGCTCTAACAAAACGCTTTGACTTAAGTAAGAACAATCTTTGGATAGTCACGGGGTTTTAACAGAACACTGTCTCCTCAAGAAACACCTTAGTACTCTAAAGCTAAGAAACAACCACGAATGCAGATTTTGTGGTGAAAATGGGGAAACACCAGAATACCCATCACTGAATGCGACGAGACGACAACAATTCGTGCTATAAACTTTGGTACGACAGATAAAAAAGACACACCTAAAGCTCAATCAAATAGTTGGGATATACCAAAAAAAATACCGGATGATGTAATATGGTTTACTGAAGAAGAGGTGCGTTCTGCATGTGATTCTCCTGAACAAGTGTCTTATCAACAGACAGTTTCCAAATTCGTGGAAAATTGCCAAACTTGTTCTAGCAGAGAAACCCAATAAAGATGGAAGTCAAGACAAAAAATATCGTCCAATATGTTTAATTAATGCAAGCGCCAAACTGTTAGAATGTCTTCTGAGGGATAGACTGGAGAAAGAACTGGAGGATGGAAACAGACTACACCCAAACCAATACGGGTTCCGCAGAGGCAAATCTACGATAGACGCGTTGAACATTGTTACGAGTAACGTAGACCGTATTAAAACGAAATCGTATAAGAACAGGGGATACGCGGCACTGCTTACATTAGACATTAAAAACGCATTCAATTCTGCCCCATGGACAGGAATTGTTGAACAATTAGGGAGCATGAAGATCAGTAAATACCTCATCGTTATGATTAAGTCTTTCTTCTCAAAAAGATATGTAATTGCAGAAAACAGCAAAAAACACAAGATGACGTGCGGGGTACCGCAGGGGTCCATTCTAGGACCGACCTTGTGGAACATCTTCTATGACCAGATCCTGAGGTCGATATTGGACCAGGTAATCTATTGATTGCTTATGCGGATGATCTGGCTGTCATGATCACCGCTCCGACCATCACTATCTTCGAAGAAAAGATACAAACAGTTGCCCTAACTATAATCAATAAGTTGGATAGAATGGACATACATCTGGCACCAGAAAAATCAGAACTAGTCGTTCTGGTAGGACATCGCAAGACGACGAACTTAAATATCCAATTGGGAAATTGCCACATCAGACCTCAAAAGGCAATAAAATATATGGGAGTTTGGCTTGATTCGGGGATGTGCATGACTACGCATGTCCTTAAAATCAGGGACAGGACGGTTGATACCATCAAACAGCTGACCAGAATCACTCCCAATATTAGAGGCCCCAGTGACGGAAAGAGGAGAATGCTTGCCTCGGTTGTGCATTCGATGATCCTGTACGCCTCGCCCATTTGGAGCAGGGCAACAGACTATAAATACTATGAAAAAGTCCTCGAGAAAATTAACAGAATGCTAGCCCTACGCGTAGTGTCAGCGTATCGTACAATTTCCACAGAAGCTGTTCTCCCTCTAGCAAAAATCCCCCCAATTATCCTACAAATCGAGGAAAGAATTTTAATATACAGGCAGTACTCAGGGTATCGATCAGAGGCCAGAAAGATAATACTGGACAAATGGCAGAACAGATGGGAGGCATACCAGGGTCGAATTAAGATATTTATCCCGGACGTGAGGGTTTGGATAAACAACACGTGGACGAAAACGGACTACTACATCACCCAGGCGATAACAGGGCACGGTGCTTTTGGAGAGTACCTGTTTAGAATAACTAAGGCGGAATCCACAAAATGCTGGTATTGTGAAGCATCAGACACGGCCAATCACACATTATTCGAGTGTAGTAGGCATTTGGAGACTAGAGCATCGGCGGAACAAATATGCAAGGTTAAAATAACAAGGGAAAATGTCGGCGAGCTTATGATGGAAAATAGAGAGAACTGTGAAGCAATCACCAGGATGATGAGAGCAATCATGCTTAAAAAACAGGAAGATGAAAAGATAAAAATTTGGCAGACACAGACATAAGTGGCGAAACAATCTCCAGTCTTGAAGTAATGCCGCAAGGCTGTTCCGAGATTGGAGAGGTAACTCTACAGATGGGTTTTTAGTGGGTATGACTCGGGTGAGAGGTGACCCCCACACTCTGGCTGTAAATGGCATTTCCCATCTATAAAAAAAAAATGGTACGACAGATATCGGAGATGGAGGACTTACCTCTGTAAAGCCGTCTCAGATACTGGCTATTGTCAAAGCCCTGAGACTGTATGATGAGCTTTAACTTAAGAAAGGAGAACACGATGGACGAATCCTGTAAGGTCACTGTGATTAACCCCCCTCCTATTCTACATACTCTTGAGTAAGAGTCGATTTAGAGAGTTACAAAGTTGGTAGGCCATTGACAATGATATGTGATGATATAGTCGAGGACTACGCTTCGGATTCTGCGTAAACAAAGTAGGCCCCGTCCAGATTAGCTCTAGCCGCAAAAAGGAACTCTACATTGAACTTTAACAACATTCTGGCTTTTTGTTAGACAAACTCTAAGGGACTAACAACAAATTTACAAATTGAAGAGTGGAAGTACCAAAGGGGGTAAGTGCCAAATTTTTCAATATTAAATTATTGCTTTAGAAAAGTAATAAATGCCATGCTGCATGCCCTAACAAAAATTACAAGTGCCAAGCGAAAGCCTCTATTTTTTATGTACCTATGTCATATGTATTTTAAAAAATATTTTAAAAATTTATTAGTTTCAGTTCTACTGTGTTTTTCTCATCTATCTCGAAAAAATTATTATGGCACTTACCTCCTTTGGTATTTCCGCTCTTCAATTGACAAACATTATTTCCCTATTTTTTATTGGTTTTGTCAGAACATCAAAAGAAAAAATTAAAAATTTTGGCATTTTTATTACATTTAATTTTTTTAAATAATGCACCTCTTTTTTGATTAATTGTATTGTAACTAAAATAGTATACAAACCCTGGAGAAATGCTTTTTATTAATGTCTCGAAATATAGTTATGAAATCTTCATTTAGAAAAATATCTTCTTTTTCTTTTACTTTTAAGAATTGAAATTTCTTCATATATGATATGGAATCTTTATCTTCGTTAGTGTATATTGTAAAATGATATCTACATTTATGGTAATATTAGTTATTTATCTATAAAATGTTCGTACTTGATGCAAATTAATGGCGTCAAAAGTATTTATTCATAACAAACGATAAAGCTGTACAAAGGCCACAACAATATTGCGACAAAATTCGACTTCAGATAAGTTTCACAATTTAGACATAACACTAAAATAGGTCTATTCTTTGTTACAAGAATTAGTCTTTGTGTTGTCAGACAAATATGATAATAATTTTTCTCCCTTAAAGTTTTATTTGCATTAAATTATTAAATCCTATTTATTTAAAGATTTTCTATGTAGAAATAAGTGTCTCTAAGTAGAAATCTATTAAAATATGCAAGATTTGCAAGAGTCTTGTAGCAAGACCAAGACTGCAAGACCAAAACTAAAGGAGTCTTTTCTACAAGCTCTTTAATATAAAAAGAACGTTAAAGTTCACCCTCAAGACCCATGCAGCCTTTTAACATAGGCCGTTATGTCCGAGGGTGATATGTCTCCTAGGTCTGATAGGTCTAGCATGGGTTTGCCAAACATCTCAAACCTGGTCCAGGTACACATAACGTGCTTCATTATTTCGTCATCTTCCATACAGAGTCGGCATTCGGCGTCTTCCACCGTCCCATCCTCTGTAGGTGTGATCTCAGCCGGCAGTGGCACGTATACACTGCAGTGAGTGTACGCGCTCCATTCCTACCAGCCTTTAGGAGTTCTCCTGTTCTATGTTTGGATGGCCCTGCTAGGATTTTTTTGGCATGTTCCATTCCGGGACTGTCATTCCAGTCCCGGAACGTCGCACCCCTAACCCATTCAGAGAGCCTGTCTCTTGCGAGATTTTTTGGAACGCTAAGTGTCGATTCTGGGCCCAGGAATGGTGAGTCTGCACCAGTTTTGGCGAGGGAATCAGCTCGTTCATTTCCCTCTAGGCCGACATGTCCCGGTATCCATATTAGCGACACTTTGTTCCTATCTCCTAATATATTGAGTAGTTTCTTACAATGAAGAATCGTCATAGACGTGCTTTTCGTCGCCTCAAATGCTTTCAGCGCGGCTTGACTATCCGAAAATATGCATATTGTTTTCCCGGTATATTGATGTTCTACTAGCAGTTGCACACAGGTTTCAATAGCATATAGCTCAGCTTGGAAAATTGTGGTGTATTTTCCAAGACTGTGGTAGATCTCAGTCTTTGGACTGCTGCAGTAATTTCCTGCGCCAGATCCTTTGTCGTTTTTGGATCCGTCCGTGTACCAACACATTTCCGGATGTAATAAACCGTTTCCCGGCTTATCCCATTCGTCCCTATTCGGAAACAGGACGTTGTAGGTGCGTGTCAAGAGTTGGACTGGTGGTGTGAGATCCGAAACCATTCCCAGAATCTCATCCGACTGTAGTTCGTCTACTAGTCGGTTTTGTACGAACATGATTGTTCCTCGTTCCAGTCTTGCACTTGTTCCTTGTTCATCACTGGTCTGAAGTCTGAATCAAAATTTTCTTTTTGGTCACAACAAGGTCATAACTAAGAATGTTTCGGAGGGGGATAATCATCGCGACTTTACAGATCTTCTCAGCTTCAATCTACTGAGGTGTTCGTCGAGGAGACAGTGTCCTGTTAGAAACTTCGTGACAATCCACAGATTCTTCATACTTAAATCAAAATCTTTGGAAAATCTTTGATTTTTCTTGGTCGTAAGTTCTGAGAATTTTTTTCGAGTGCCTTATACCAGTTGGAGGATTACCATTCCAGGTTACGAATGGGGTCTTCCAAGTTCTTGAGTTCCGCTTTAAATTGGCTTTGAATTTTTGAAGTAAAACTTCTTTACGTGCGTTGGGGGTTAAAATTCAAGGCCGTGACACTCGGCCGCGAGATGGCCGTGACGCGCGAGAGGCAATGTTATAGCGGCAGTGTTGCCACAGCTACCCCATTCGGGGTAGATCTCGTGATAATCAACCCCGATGATAAAATAAACTTGCGGCAAGTGGCAACACTGGGTAACGATCTGTGCCATACGCGGCAAAGAAAATCACTATAATAAACTTGATATTGTACCAACTTTGTGTGCTAGGATGTAAATTTTCATGCATATTTTCATCAATAGGTTTGTAGCTTCTGAATAACGGTCTAGGTAAAGTATCTAGCTCATTTGCCAGCTCAGAATTAGAATTTAGACTTTTTAGATTTTCGATTTTCATTGGAGGACACTGCCATATTTATTTCAAACCAACGAGAATCAACGAGAATATTCGTATGATTTAATAAAATTACTGTAAATTACTATAAATAATAAATTGTTTGTAATTGAACTGTAATTTCTGTATTATTAATTCGGTAAATGATGGGGATAAACAATAATTGTGATTGATTAAAATTTTATTTTAAGATGAAACTTTTGTTAACAACATTCTGAGAATTCAAATAATGAATTGAATAATGACAAGACAAGTGACATGTCTAAAAAAGACAGCGATTTAAAGTGACAATTTGGCTATGCAAAATTTAGAGTGACAATTTTGATTATGCAAAAGAAATACATATTCTATGAGTTTGCCTAGCGATTAACATTAATTTAAAAATAAATCCCCAACATGAATAATGAACAAAACATTTAAACAAAAACAGACCACAGACCTTACAAAACAAATTGTTCGTTAGTAGCAGTTAGTTGTAGTCAGAGATATAGATGTATGTAGAAGTGTTTTGGTTTAATGGCCACAGCTACTTCTTAACTGCAATACCAAGACCAAGGGAGTCTTAGTCTTGCTCTTGCATTTCCTCATCACCAATTTTGACTGGTATAATAAATTTCCTTTTAGACAATTTTATTTTACACTACATTTTATCTTATTTATATATTCTTATCCTCTTTAGCGGGCATAATAACCCCCATTTTCTCTCCCGTAAGCGCTCCCCTGTTTCAAAGCAACCAAATCTGACGAAAATTGGGAAAAATGGTGAATCTAGGCCGATTTGAATGGTCCCCTCGTCTCTAGACGCGTCACGAATCCGCTGGAGTGCATCGATGCGGGTCAGTCGACTCGTACCTGCGCTCCTGAGACCCCCCTCAACCCCCCTGAACTGTCTTCCATCACCCGTTCACACGATTCACATGCCGCTACCAGCAGCGACCGGAGCCCTGCTAGAGACTAGATTTCAGGGGGGGCCCTCAGCCCGTGTTGCCGGATGCTCAAAAGATATTTCGTAGGACTTGAGAAAGAGCTAGAGGTGTCGATTGACTTGAGCCGAGCGCTGTATGTAACGCTTGTTCGCTGCTCGCGAGTAGCGTTTCGTTCGAAGTCGAAATGCGAAAATCTCGTTTCGAATGCACGGTTCGTTGTGCTCCAGTATTGTTTCAGCCCTTAAAATACGGCGCATCTAAAAAAATCTGTGGTGTATGGTACCAAATTATTCGTAAAAAATGCACACAATTTAACACAGCTATGGCACTCTAGATTGAAATTTAAAATGCGATTTTTTTAAGCCAAAATGTCAAAAGTTGACATATGATATGTCATTCTATGCAGAGTGTCATTTTCTATCGAATAAGATAAAAAAATACCGAGGGTGCCATTTAAAAATCAAAAGTTGTAGTCATTTCCGGTGAAAAAGGAAGTGACCAAAAACAATTGAATAAATCAATCAATCCTAATTTATTTCATATATACTAAAATACCAAATCTCATTTTTTTATCTGATAAAATAAAAAGTTATAGGAGTGAGCCACTTTTGAGACGCACCCGGTATATCGTAAACGTAATCGTAATATAGGTGTATACTTGTACAGGGTGAGTCTTAAATAAGTGCAAATAATTTCAGGGCTGATAGATATCGACAAAAGAAACATATTTTGGTCTTAGCGTTTTTCAAATAAGTCCAAAATAACCGAGCTATTCAAGTTTGAAAATTTCAAAAAAAAATGAGTGCCACCGAATTTTTTCTGTATTTGCATCTCTTTTAGTGCCGTAATCATGGTTGTTATATCAGAAATTATTAAGAAATATACAGTGGGAAAATTTGCTGTGAACAGACAGGTCTAAAATACACAGGAAAATTTAAAAGAAAATGCACGATTTTCGACATGTTTTTTTGCGAAACAAACCTCATAGACGTGGTCCTGTGGGGTCGAAATATACCACCCTTAAAAGTATTTTCACTTATTTAAGACTCACCCTGTATTATGATCAAAGTCGATCGGTACAATAGCTGACTGCAAATATGAAATCCAGACATTCAAAGTAGTCAAAATTAGAAAAAAAAAAACAGAGTATCACTAAAAACAGTTGATACTAAAGCAATCAAAACTCATTTGTGCAATGTCCTGTCGTCCGAATAGTCAGTTACCGATAGCAACTAGACGCTTATCATTTAATAATCATTATTTTTAATTTAATAAATAGTAAAATTGGCGAGATTTCTCATTTTTAGGCAAACACTACTACAATTTGTAATTTGTGGGACCTTTCTAGTAGCGTCCTTGCTACTAAAACGTGGACATCAGTGTCCATGCAACAAAAAAACCGTTTGTACAAAATTTATTGTAAAAAAACTTCATAAAAACAATTCTCCGAAATTCTCCGACATTTCCTCTAACGTGTCAACACCGCCTCCTCTTCCCCCGCGACACACAAGCGTCGATTGAGTCGATTCCGACGTCGTCGACCGTCGCACGGCCAACTATCTTTCGAGCGCGCCAGTTAAAAGTACGAACCCGCGATAAACGGTCTCGTCAACCGCTAGTGCTGGTCCGCGTTTACCAGCACCAAACAAGAAACACGCTCTTCGTCGCTTAAAATCGCGTGTGAATTTATTAATAAACCGTCAAAATGTTTGACGTTTTCGGCTCCGTTAAGGGCCTGCTCAAAATCGACGCGGTCTGCATCGACAACAACGTTTTTAGGCTCCACTACAAAGCCACCGTCATCATTTTGATTGCTTTCTCTCTTTTGGTCACCAGCAGACAGTATATCGGTGACCCGATCGACTGTATCGTAGACGAAATACCTCTAAATGTGATGGACACATATTGCTGGATTTACTCAACCTTTACCATTCCAAACAGACTGACAGGAAGAGTTGGACAAGACATAGTTCAAGCAGGAGTGGCCAGTCACGTTGACGGAAAGGACGAGCTGAAATACCACAAATATTACCAATGGGTTTGCTTCGTTCTTTTCTTCCAAGCCATGCTCTTCTACATTCCAAGGTACCTGTGGAAAACCTGGGAAGGAGGCAGAATCAAGATGCTGGTCCTCGACCTCAACTGTCCCATTGTCAACGAAGAGTGCAAAACAGACCGAAAAAAACTCCTAGTAGACTACTTCACCACGAACCTCCATCTACAAAACTTCTACGCTTTCAGATTCTTCATTTGCGAAGTACTCAACTTCATTAACGTAGTAGGACAGATTTTCTTCATGGACTTCTTCCTGGATGGAGAATTCAGCACGTACGGAAGTGACGTGCTCAAATTTACTGAAATGGAGCCTGAAGAACGCGAAGATCCGATGGCGAGGGTCTTTCCCAAAGTGACCAAGTGCACCTTCCACAAATACGGTCCTTCGGGCTCGATCCAGAAGTTCGATGGACTTTGTGTCTTGCCTTTGAACATCGTCAACGAAAAAATCTACGTATTCCTGTGGTTCTGGTTCGTGATTCTCAGTGTTTTGTCGGGCATTTCTCTTATCTACCGTATGTTCGTTATTATGGGACCCAAACTTCGCTTGTACTTGCTCAGAGCGAGATGCCGCATTGCCGCGCAGAGCCAGGTCGAAACCATAGCCAACAAATGCGAAATTGGAGACTGGTTCGTACTGTACCAGCTCGGAAAGAACATAGATCCTCTTATTTTTAAAGAAATAGTGTCGGAGTTATCGAAAAAACTTGAGGGAAAAGAGACTGTTTAATAATCGCTCTAATAAGAGAAAAAATAGTTAAAATGAACTAAACGGGATCAATTTTAATTCGCAAATCTTCTGTGATTGCAGAAAAGACTGTTATTTGTTGTTCTGTACTGTATTTCCATTCCAAACTACGAACGGACGCTTCCAAATTATCTTTAAGACGTGTTTTGCACTGCCAAAATGTAACAGATTGTTGCAATGTTACTATCATTCCTGTAAATCACGAGCAATATTTATAGAAGAGACGTTTTCGTATGTCAAATAAATGGCGTTTTGTCTACTATTTTGAGAATAATAGGCAAAATAGCCGCTCAAAACTCGGACGAAGACAAGTTCTCTGTGATAGATCTGATATTGTTCCGGTTTGTAATAATTTAGGATATTGAACGCATGATGGACTCAGTTTTTTACACACCCTGTACATATTTTACACTTGAATCGAAAACTTAGAGCGTTTAGATTTTTTATTTATGTAATTGATTATGTTAATGCTCAAAACTACAAAAAGTGTTTTTGTAATTTCAAATGTTATGAAAATGACATGTGACACTATTTTGACAATTTTATTTTCATGACTTTTTTAGTTATACAGGGTGCGTTCAAAAAAATAGGAAACCGGAGAATACAGATTTGGAAGTTAAAAAAAGCGCATATAAATGAGATAATATGTTATGGATTATATAAAATGTGATTTTTAGCTTAGTTAATGTAATAGTAATTATTAAAAAAAATGGTGTTGTAGCTTCCATACTGGCCAAAATATGCATGGGCTAGAGATATTTTTTTAAGAGTTTTTATGGAGCTAAAAAAAGACAATGAAAAGAAAAAATATATATTAGATTTAAAATTAAAAAAAATAAAATGTATGGAAACGTTTTGTGTTCAAATTGTATGTATTTTATATATTGATGTTTTTTAGAAACCAGACGTGCCTTTTTGAAATTGTATGGATTTTATGCGTATATATACATATATATTTTTAAGATTAAAACCTTTTTAGTAAATTATTTTGGTGCTTTTATTTGATTGTCCCTCTTAAAATAACTTAAGTACCTAGGTATTTTAATTACAGGATGGTATTTTAATTGTTCTCTAAATCTGCGTGTAATTACTTTGACTATTACAAGATATTTTTCTAATTGGTTTATGATTTTTCGAAATTTTAACATTGAAAATACAATGTTATTAATGATAAATAACCTGATAAGATTCTATCTCAATGTTAAAATCAAAAAAAAACTTTCTTATGCAATATTTGAGGCAAGACAAGTTGCAAAACCCGCCTTATCCATTTTAAAAAAAAAATGGCCTAATGACATTAATATTGGGACCCTGAAATCTACATAAACATAATCCCAAACTGCAGTAAAAATCGCCCATTCTTATATAAAATTCACTACAAATCATAATTTGTTACTGCAGCAAAATCCGTCTTATCCACTTATATTTGCTTTTATTGTCATTATTGTTACAAATCCCGCATTTTTTCATAAGTTTTTTACACAAGTATAATATTACTACTGACGTCTTTTCAAATCCTTACTTAATTTTAATAAATCACGTTAGGATGCAAATCAGTGGCGGACTAAGCCTGTCGGGGGCCCGGGGCGGCGAAGCTAAATGTGGGCCCCCGGCCTATTTAGATAATGATATACTTCTAATGCACAATTTGTAAAAATTGAATGACGTATGTATAATGGTTGACAAAATTCAAGTATTTATACAGCGTGTCCCAGGCTGAGCTTGCGTTAGAAGTACTACAATATCTAGATACGAGATTTTGTGCATATCATTGTTTCAGTACCGGAAGTTGACAGCAACTTTCTTATTTTAAATGGGTGACCCTATTTTTTATTACATACTTAAATTATCTGTAATATTTTATGAATTTTGATATTAAACACTCTATACCTAACGTTAACCGTTTTTGAGAAAAAAAATATTTATAATTTTTGGAGAAAAAAAAACTGCCTGTCAAAAATGCCTGCCAAAAATTTAGTAATTGCCACGGCCACTGTACCATAAAGAGAAGACATGTGGCTATCTATGTCAAAAATTAGATTGTCCGAATGTCATATAATAATGGCCGCAGCTGTCATGGAATTGAGCGATTAAAAAAATTATCATAAATCATTTTTTTTTTCAAATGGATATCCACTTTTTTTATTTCAGTCGTGAAAAGGCTTTCCTTACTTGTTCATATCGTTGTTTTTAAAATTTGTTACTTTTTGACCATACATGTTTCTGTACCTAATAATATAAATCGTTTTTAAGTTATTTAATATTCAGCTTTAAAGCGTATATTTTTCTTGATTATAACCAGTAGCCTATGACAGTATATTATCGATCATAATTTCCAAGCTAATTTTGCGCTGTTTTTTTTTCGATCGTACGGTATATTATTAAAATATCAACTATTAGATATTACTAAATACACTTTTTAAACTTTTAAGGCCGCGGTAGTTATAGTATAGGAAATTCAAATAATTCATTTTCTGACAGATGGAAATAAATTGTCTAACTGTTTGACACTTAATGCCAAAGGAAGCTAGATAAAATCAAGAAAAATATACGATTTCAAACTAAATCTTAAATAACTTAAAAACGATTTATTTTAGGTATAGGAATATGTCTAGTTAAAACCTAACGAATTGGAAAACCTTTTCACTAGTGAAATAAAAAAGTGGGTTTCCATTTGGAAAAAAATTATTTATGATAATTTTTTACCGCTCAATTCCATGACAGCTACCGCCATTATTATATGACATGTGAACAATTAATTTTTTGAAATAGATAGCCACGTCTTTCTTTATGTCACAGAGGCTGTGATAATCACTAAATTTGACTTTTAGGCTGTACAAATTTTTTTGACAGGTAGTTTTTTCGTCCCAAAAATTTTGAATATTTTTTTCTCAAACATGCTTCCAGGGAAAAAATATCGCGATTTTGTAAGTCCTCCAAGATCCGAGGGCCCTTCGCTGTCTCAGGCCCCCGGCCCCCGTTATACTAAAGACTTCAGTGCTCATCGTCAGCAATGAAGCTAGAATACAAGTTATGCTGTGCATTGGTTGTAATTTAAAATGTTTATTCAGTAAAATAAATAATGAAACCATTGAAAAATAACTTAAAAGCTAAAATAAATAAATTCAGTCTCAAAATATATAAAAAATAATAATTTTCGATATTTTAAACAAAGAAAATTACCCCTTGATTTAATTTCCTAAATAGAAAATGCCATTGACAATTACTGGGGCCTGATCATTGATAATTAAGTAAATATCTGCTTCCATTTATACTGTTTATAGTTGGCGTATACGTATGGTTTGCTTACTCCACCTACAAACTGCTTTATAACTACTGAACACATATTGGCCTTGTATGCCAGTTGAATAAAACATTACTTAAGATTCGGAGGCCCCCTAAAAGACGGGGCCCGGGGCGGACCGCCCCTTCCGCCCCCCCCCTTAGTCCGCCACTGATGCAAATAACATATGATCGAAAAAAACGGCATCCAGTTGGCTAGTAAAATGACGATCGATGACATTTCCCATAAAAGTTTACATATAAAATGACAGCGTTCTTCATTTCATAGCCAATATGCATCATACTGCAACAAAACCCGCCTTATCCGAATTATTTTTGTGTTTTTTTTATTTAAAAATTAAATATTAATTTTTATTTCCAGAAAAACGAGATACAAAACAATGATTCCACTCAATGGACACGTTTTTTGTAAATTAACGTTTCAAACATTTGCTAAAACAGTTTTTGCTTATTATCTCGAAGCAGCATTTGTGGGATAAGACGGGTTTTGTAACTTGACGCCTCATTTAATGGCAGAATATAATTTTAACCGAGAAATACTAGAAATACTGTTTTTTTTTGTCTCTGCATTCTCAGTAATTTTTGAAGAAAAAATTGGATTTGTCCAACGAAACATGAATTTATGGTGAACATAAGGTCAATGCGAACAAACGTTGAGAAACGAACAAAGGAAGAAAATATTCAGCTAAAAAAAAGTATGAAATATAAATTCAAACGAGACCGAGTAGTTATTCTGAATGAACTTTTTTTTAGCTGAAATCACTTATAAAAAAACATCAAAACATCCAGTATATAGAAGCCTCACCAAACGCAAAATCATAAAATTTTCTCTGCGGAAATGCATCATTCTCTTTTTTCCGACTTTAGAATAACTGACATCAGTTGCATGAAAACATGTTCCTATATTCTAAACACTTTTCTTATGTAGATATGAACTTAACCTATAGTCTGTCCAAGGACAAGATCCTTGACAGTGATAGATGTGTCTGTCATTTTAATTTCCAAGTGCTTTATTTTATTTTACAAAGAAATAAGTTGGTTGAACTGGAACGCAGAGCAGAAAATATATTTAAAATTTGACTGACAAGATACTGACAAGTGATTACTTCAAAATATTGTGAAAAAACTGTATAAAACTGAAAAAATATAATCGAGTTATTTTATTTAACAAAAAACGGTATGTGATAAGACAAAACAAACAAGAACAAGACACCACATACCAAAAAATATAAAAAGAAGGTATAGGTATTTCTTACTTTCAAGCTTCATGAAACTTCCCGCATTTATGATTATATTTATCAATATAACTTTTGTACATACACAAATTTGTAATATTCGACAGGAATAAATAAAACAACATAAATAAAACAAACTATTTTATTAATAATAACTTAACAAATTTTATACCTTAAAGGTTGATTAATTAACGTTAATCTTAATTTTTTTAAACCAGTACCTTTTGACATTATTTTTCTGTAGTATTAAAATCCATTATTTACCTATGGTGTGATGTCGATATTTTACAGCTACTCCAGTTTTTAGTATGTGTTTAGTATGATCCTTCTACCATATACGAGACGAGATGCACTTATCTACGACGAGAGGGTATACAAACTTTATCCATGGTAACTTCATTGGTGTATAAGACTTTCTGCCTGGGCAGCGAGTATTAACCATAAACTGTGCTCTGGGTCTACAGTTAATTTTCACTCGATTTTTCGTCGACTGGACTTCAAAAGACACAAAACTAACACACGTAATAATACGAATCATCTTCCAAAACGCAGGGTATTTGACAAAAGCTGACAAAATTATAACCCATAATTTGGCAAGACTTTGACAAGCGTCAAAAATGACAAAAATCTAAAGGCGAGTTCATACGCATCTGCGTCCGTTTGTCGTTCATCGTTCCGTCAAACCAATAAAATTGAAATACGATTTGTCATTTTTTAAATAAACCAATAAAACTGGTTAAAAACAACAAGACACGACGCATGACGGATTTATATTTAAACCCATCCATAGTTAACTTAAAAATTATTAGAAACTTTTTTTAGTAAAATAAATAGATTGGTATGGGACGTCATCTG